GCAGGATTTTTGCTTCTGTGTTCACAAATACTGATTCTGACTTTTTTCTTATAACAGCCATTCTAGTGGGTATGAAATGTTAATCTCATTGTGGGTAGAATTTAAAAAGGATTACTGTTAATTCTTTAAATATTTGGTGGAATTCCCCAGTGAATCCATCAGGCCCTGAGCTTTTCCTTATTTGGAAGTGTTTGATTACTGATTTAATCTTCTTACTTGTTATAGGTCTTCTCAAATTTTCAAATTTTTGGGACTCTGTTTTGATAGTTTGTGTTTCTAAGAATGTGTCCATTTTTCTAGATTGGGATTTGTTAGCATACAGTTATTCATAATATCTTCTTGAAATACTTTTTATTTCTATAAAACATTTTATTTCTATAAAATTGCATGTTTCTGGGAATTTTCCCATTTCTTCTAGGTTAGCATTTGTTAGCATACAATTATTTGTAGTACCCTCTTATAATCCTTGCTTATTTCTATAAAATTAGTAGTAATGTCCCAAATTTTATTTTAGTTATTAGAGTGTTCTTTGTTGTTTTCTTATTCAATCTAGTTAGATATGTCAATTTTGTAATTAACTTTCAATTTTATTGATTTTTCTTTATTTGTTTTCAGTTCTCTATTTTTTTTTTTTAAATCTGCCCCAATCTTTATTATTTTTTTTTTCCTGCTGCTGGTTTTGGTTTTAATTTGCTCTCCTAGTTCTTTGAGATATATTGTTAGTTATTGATTTTAGATGTTTCTTTTTTAATGAAGATGTTTATTGCTATAACTTTTCCTCTTGGCACTGCTTTTGCTAAATTCCATAAGTTTCGGCATGTTGTGTTTTCATTTTCATTCATCTCAACGTATTTTTCTGATCTGTTGTGATTTCTTTTATTACCCATTAGTTGTTTCAAGAGTGTGTTGTTTATTTCTGCATATTTGTGAATTTTCCACTATTTCTGTTATTTCTTTTTAGTTACATTCCATTGTGATCGCAAAAGATACTTTGTGTATTTCAATCTGTTAAAATTTATTAAGAATTGTTTTATGGCCTGACATATGTTCTGTCTTGAAGAACGTTCTATATGCACTTGAAAAGAATGTACATTCTGCTGTTTGGGGGTATAGTGTTTCGTATATATCTGATAGGTCTAATTGGTTTATAGTTCTCTATTTTCCTGTTATTCTGTCTACTTGTTCTCTATTCTCTTGTTATTCTGTCTATGTGTTCCATCCATTATTGAAAGTTGGGTATTGAATACTCCAACAATTATTGTAGAACTGTCTATTCCTTCTTTAAATTCTGCCAATTTTTACATCATATATTTTGGAGTTCTATTCTTAAGTGGGCATGTGTTTATAATAATGATATTTTCTTGATGGGTTAAAACTTTTATTAATATGAAATATCCATCTTTGTCTTGTGTTACCTTTCTGATTTAAAATCCGTTTTGTCTGACAATAATATAGCTACCTCAGCTTCAATTTTGGGTTGCTATTTACATGGAATACCTTTTTCTGTCCTTTTGCTTTCAACATCTTTGTATCTTTTTATCTAAAGTGAGTCTCATTTAGACTCCATGTAGATGGATATGTTTGTTTTTATTTTTATTTATTTTTAATTGTAGTATAATTTCATGTAACATATTAGTTTCAGGTATATAACATAATGATTATATACATTGTGGCATGATCACCATAATAAGTCTAGTTAACATCTGTCTCTGTACATAGTTATAGAAATGTTTTTTTTCTTTTTTTTCATATGATGAGGGCTTTTAAGATTTACTCTTAGCAACTTTTGAATATGCAATGCAGAATTACTAACTATATCACTATATTGTACATTACATCATGATGTATTTATTTATTTTATAGCTGAAAGTTTGTACTTTTGATCTCTGTCACCTAATTTGTCTCCCCACTCCCGGCCCCCAGCAACCATCAATCTGTTCTCTGTATCTATGAGCTTCTTTTATTGTTTGTTTTTGATTCCACATACATGTGAGCTCATATGGTATTTATCTATCTCAGTTTGACTTATTTCATTTATCATAATGTCCTCAAGGTTCATTTTTGTTGTTGCAAATGGCAAGATTTCATTCTTTTCTTAGGGCTGAATAGTATTTATTTTACACACACATGCACAAACACACACACACACATACACTCCATATCTTTTTTAATCCATTCATCCACTGATGGACACTTAGGTTGTTTCTATATCTTGGCTATTGTAAATAATGCTTCAAAGGACATAGGGGTGCATATATATCTTTTTAAATTACTATTTTCATTTTCTTTGGATAAATACCTAGAAATGGAATCATTGGGTCATATGGTAGTTCTATTTTTAATTGTTTTGAGGAACACCATGCTATTTTCCATAGCAGCCACATCATCAATTTACATTCTCACCAACCATGTACAGTGCTTGTTTATTTTTAAATTCTGCCAACCTCTTCCTTTTAATGGGAGAGTTTAACTAATTTACATTTAAAGTAATTATTCATTAAGAAGAGCTTATTTCTTCCATTTAGTTGTTTTCTGTATGTCATGCATACTTTTTCTTCTTTAATTTCTTTATTACTATCTATTTTTGTATTTTTTTTGAGAGCCTGCTATATTGTTCCCATCTTTATTTCTGTATAATTGTTAGTTATTTTTCTTAGTAGTTGCCATAGGGATTACAATTTATACCTTAAATTTACAACCTAGTTTTAACAGTGCAAAATTAATTTCGGGAATATATAAACACTGTTCCTTCCTATGCATCTCTGCCCTTCTCTTTTATATTGTTATTGTCACAGATCACATCTTTATAAATTGTATGCTTAACAGTGTAGGTTTATAATTATTGCTTTATGCATTTGCCTTCTAAATCATATAAAAAAGAGTTGCAGACCCAAAGTGCAATAACATTGGCTTTTTTGTTTACTTTTATAAGTACTCTTTATTTCTTTTTTGCTTTTGGAAATGGATTAGTTTAGAAATGGCTTAGTTTCTCCTTCATGTATGAAGAATAGTTTTGCTAGATATAGAATTCTTAGTCGAAATTATTATTATTATTATTATTATTATTATTATTATTATTATTATTATTTATTTTAGGATTTCAGATATGTTATCCTACTACTTTTTGGCTCCCATGGAAGAAATTAGATATTAATCTTTTTGAAGATCCCTTGACTGTGGCAATTAATTTGTTTCTTATTGCTTTAAAAATTATTTTTCTATGTTTTGACAATTTGATTAGAAAGTGTCTAGTGTGAATCTCTTCGATATTCTGTTAGGAATTGATGGGCCTCTTGGATATGTACATTTATGTCTTTCATCAGCTTTGGGAGGTTTTCAGCCCTTATTTCTTCAAATATTTTTTTTTCTGCCCCTTTCTTTCCTGAGAATCCTATGATGTACGTGTTGGAATGTTTGATGGTCCCCCAGGCTCTGTTTATTTTTCTTCATTCTTTTTTTTCCCCGTTTCTCAGACAATTATTTCTATTTCCTTATCTTCAACTTCACTGATCCTTTTTTGTGTGTGCATAGGCAATGCTTTCCTGTTTCTTTGCATACTTTTGTATGGTTTTTTTTTTTTTTTATTGTTGAGAACTATACATTTGAGTATATTGCAAAACTGGAAATGTGAGTCTCCTACTCCTTACAGATGCTGATTTTTGTTTGCTGAGGGATGTAGGCATTTATTTGTGACTTTTTCAGACAATTTTTGCAAAGTTTACATTTCTTGTATGTAGTTACTGATGTTTGGGTTTTATTATCTCTACTGTCAGCTAGTGATCTAACAAAGATTTCCTTAAATGTTTGGTTCCAAAAAGCAGGAGAGGAGTTTCTATGTATTTAAATCTTCTGGTAGATGCCATTAGAGGAAGCTGCTGCAGCCTGAGAGGATTGAAACCAAGGGAAGCATCTTCACTGGTCTGTCAGGGAGCTGCCAAACCAACCAAAATATACAGCCCTAAATTTTTAAGGACAAGATCCCCACTGCCTACCTTGGTATCTGCCAGCCTCTCCAAGAACTCATGCACTATTATCATAGTGGTGCTGAGGAATGGAAAATGGCATTTGTTTTGTGCATGTCATTCTCTTACCAGAGAACAGCAGTATTTCTCTTCATGAAACACTTATTTTGTCGTAAGTATTAATCAGGTTCCAGAATTATGAAATAGTTTTTTT